CAACTACGTATTCGCATGCGACATACTGTACCTAAGTGAGTGGAGTGTGTGCAGTTTCTCGATGCTGTGCTGTATTCCCATGGCGCCTTCTCTCAGACGACGTTCCATCATTGCGTGCAGCGCCAGGAAATCTGAGAATCGTCGGTACACCTTGTGGTGGTGTGATACGTGACACATGACGAGTGACAGGTTGGCAGGTGAATGTCATTACACAGTATGAGCAAGCCCCGAAACCCAACTCTATAACCCTGAACCCAAACCCTCAGCCCAAATCTTAAACTGTAAACACTAACGCATATCTGAATCACGATCATGTACGATAAACGCCGTCTCACAAACCTTACGCTCGGTTCAACATGACGGAGTCGTATTGCAGAAGACGCACACGTGGTAAAACGAACATTGAGCTGAGCATGCAAAGTCAATATGAGAAAAGGTACTTAGCATGGTAAGTCCTCGGCGTATTATGTCAATCACGTCTGCGTTAGCAACAACCATACATCCGCTGATGAAACACCACACGTCTCTGTAGAAGCACAACACGCACTACTAAGCAAATGCAGCATACACAGCACATTCACATCTCCACAGAACAGGGCGTGTCTGTTCCCATATTCTCAACGCATAATATATATGTATGCAAATTAGCACTATATACCATCTAACGTATACGATAAACGTTGTTACCGTTTAATTCAGTGTCGTACCTTGAATGTTTCATTCAACGACGCGCACGAGATCTCCATCAGATACTCAACGTATATTATGAAGCTGACAGACACAGTGGTGTATACAAATTAGCACTCAACATCAAATAACGTATACGTTATACAATGTTACCGTTTGATACGGAGGCGTACCTTGAACTTCTTATTCAACGCCGGGTGCGTGATTTCCACCAGATACTCCACGTATTTATCATACCATGGACCCACGAGCCTCGGAGTCATTACCGACACCTGCACAGTTAGTTTGTCACTGAGTATGTCGTATATTATTTAAAGCAATACCTGCACATTTAGTTTGTAATTGAGTATGTCGTACATTATTTATAGCGATGCCTGCACAGTTAGTTTGTTTTTAAGTATGTCGTATATCTGCACAGTTCGTTTGTCTTTGAGTATGTCATATATTATTTATAGCAATACCTGCACAGTTAGTTTGTCTTTGAATAGGGCGTATATTATTTATAGCAATATCTGCACAGTTAGTTTGTTATTGAGTATGTCGTACAGTATTTATAGCGATGCCTGCACAGTTAGTTTATTTTTGAGTATGTCGTATATCTGCACAGTTCGTTTGTCTTTGAGTGTGTCGTATATTATTTATAGCAATACCTGCACAGTTAGTTTGTTCTTGAGTTTGTCGTATATTATTTATAGCGATACCTGCACAGTAAGTTTGTTTTTTGAGTATGTTGTATATCTGCACAGTTCGTTTGTCTTTAAGGAAGTCGTAAATTATATATAGCGACACCTGCACAGTTAGTTTGTCTTTGAGTACGTACACGTCGGCTCAAAGTGTCAATCGATTGCAAGATGCCCGGGCCATATTCGAAGAAATAGATGCGTAAGTGCCGCTTATTTAAACCGTTTTTTGGAACTCACATACGTGTTTACCTATACCTCACACGCTACACGCATACGTAGCCACCGCAAAGGGTATGAATATTTAAACGCCGCATACACTCATGCACACTCGCCGTATACGTTGTGTGCCGGATCAGTGCCTCCCCAATGCCGCCCATTATGGTGCGCATGTGCGTTTGCTTCGGTGTTGTCGATTGAACGACCGAGTACTTCCCATTGCCTAATCAAAGTACCAATAGTGCTTTAGGTGTTCTGGGTTTTTAGAGTTTAGGGTTTTGACCCCTAATCCCTGTCATCGTCTTCAGTCACTTCAATATATCACTATGTCCTATCGCTACTCAGATACCGAACTGTGGCGTCGTCAACGTTAACAATGGATTCCTCATTTCGAGATACCTCTCAAAGTTCCCACACCCAACAAGCACTGTTCGTTCTTAGGGTTTAGGGTTTGGGGTTTACAGTTGCCATAGCCTTACTTCCCCTAAAACCATACATTACTTCCCCTTAATCCATCACATTCATTCCTCTCAAAGGTATCAAAAACACACACTCATGTGAACTGCCCTCAATATACACGTACTCTCACCGCATACCAATAATCCATCCGAGTGGGTGCCCTTCAGCAGCAGCTTCATGGTGACCATGCTGTTCTGTTTGTGCAAAATAGAACTTGCAAACTTGCTGTTGGCGTCTTCGGATTCGTCTTCGGAGGCAACTGAATATATCAACAGCAGGCATAGTTCATGAACGACAAGGTCTAGGCGGTAGGGTATTGAGTTGTTTAGGGGGTAGGGTATAGGGTTGCCATGGCAATGCATTTTTTAAGTACATGATGCTATAGTACAAGTTAATATGAACAGTACTTGTATGGCAGTATAGTACATGATGCTATAGTACAAGTCAATATGAACAATACTTGTATGGTAGTACAGTGCATGATGCTATAGTACAAGTTAATATGAACAGTACTTGTATGGTAGTACAGTACACGATGCTATAGTACAAGTTAATATGATTAGTACTTGATAGGTAGTATAGTACATGATGCTATAGTACAAGATAATATGAACAGTACTTGTGTGGTAGTATCTGTATGTACATCCGCACATGATATAGACACACACTACACACACACTTCACATACATACGGCAAGTGATAATCAGCCTACATAAGACAAACAATAAACAGACATACATATGACAAATAACAAACAGGCATACACGTGACAATTAATAAACAGCTGTGTATATAACCGCACAAGATACTAAAATGCGCATACCACTCGAATGAGGGTTCATCGCCAGAGTCTCGAGGACGGCTGGAATGGGCCTGGTAGTGTTTATACCGGAGCCTGTGCGGAGATATAAGGAGAGTATGATATAGTTTAAATGATACACGCATATACGCCATAATATACATACTGAAGGAAAGGGAGTATATAACATATAACAACTATACTTCAGACAAGCGTCTGATTTCTATCATGCAATATCATCACTGATATGCCGTTTGAGTGGACTCCTATAGAGTGACGCATTGCGTGGATGGATATGCAGAACTGAGACGTTTGAAATCTCAGATATTCAGAAATACAGACAGTTGAGGAAGGCTTCACAATCAGCGGGTAAGGACTGCTCAGCTATGTGAAGAGTGGATGGGGTCAATACCGACAGTTGAGGAAGGCTTCACAAGCAGCGGGTAAGGACTGCTCAGCTATGTGACGAGTGGATGGGGTCAATACAGACAGTTGAGGAAG